TCATAAGAAAAATACAGACAGTATCTCTCCTTTATGAATATAGATATAAAAATCCTCAACAAAATATTAGCAAATCAAATCCAACAGCATGTGAAATGGATTATCTATATTCATCAAATGGGATTTATCACAATTATCACAAAATTGCAAGGGTGGCTCAACATGTGAGAATCAATTATAGAATGAAGTAAAATGTTGGACATTGGCTGATGAGATTAGTCAACACAGACTCAAATGCACCCTCATATTGTAGGAAAGGAGACTACATGTGTGAGGTCAGGTGGTATATGGGAACTCTATACATCCTATTCAATTCTGCTGTAAACCTAAACTACTCTAACTCCATTAAACCAACGGGCAAGGATCTGAACAGACATCTTCCAAGGAACATACAGAAACAGCCAATAAACACATAAAAAAAGTTTAAGATAATTCGTCATAAATGCAAATAAAAATCATGAAGACATACCACTAGGATGGCTATTGAAGGGAAAAAAGGAAAACTAGTATTGGCAAGGATGTAAAGAAATAGAAAATTTCACACAATAACTGGAAGGAACATAAATAGAAACTATGAAAAACAGTTTCGAGGCTTCTCAAAAAGTTAAACATAGAATTATCATATAATTCAGCAATTCCACTCCTAGATACACACCCAACCAAAGAAGTGAAAAACCTGTTTCTCAAAAAGTTTGCACATAAACATTCCCAGCTGAGTGTAAAAGTGGAAACAATGTAAACATTCATGAAGAAAGAAAAAAAATAAAATGTGTTATATCTACCCAAAAAAATATTATTCAGCAAAGAAAACAAAGAGGTACTGATTCATGCTACAGAATGGATGAACCTGGAAAACATGCTAAGTGAAGGAAGTCTGACACAAAAGTCAGATTCTGCTTATATTAAATGTCCACAGTAGGCAAAATCCATAGAGACAACAGATGAGTGGTTACCATGGCTGAGGAGAACAAAGTATGGAGATATGAGACTTCCCTTTGGAGTGATAATGTTCACTGCATAACACTATGAATATACCATAGGTCACTTTTTTTCTTTTTTTTTGAGACAGAGCCTCAAGCTGTCACCCTGGGTAGAGTGCTATGGCATCATAGCTCACAGCAACCTCTTCAACCCCTGGGCTTGAGTGAGTCTCCTGCCTCTGCCTCCCAAGTAGCTGGGACCATAGGCGCCCGCCACAAGGCCAGGTCATTTTTGGGTTGCAGCCATCATTGTTGATTGGCAGGCCCCGGCTGGATATGAACCCGCCACCTTAGGTGTATGTGGCTGGCGCCTTAGCCTCTTGAGCCACAGGCGCCGAGCCACTACAGGTTACTTTTAAGTGATTGAAACGGGGAATTTTATGTTATAGAAATTTTTCCTCAGTTAAAAACAGTAGTTCTCAAACTTTAAAAAACAAGACTGAGGTTGGCAGTTTTGAGCTTGGCCTGGGCCTGCTCAACAGCAATGACAACTGCAACCAAAAAATAGCTGGTGTTGTGGCGGGCACCTGTAGTCCCAGCTACTTGGGAGGGGAAGGCAGGAGAATCACCTAAGCCCAAAGAGTTTGAAGTTGACGTGAGTTGTGACGTTATGGCACTTTACCCAGGGTGACATAGTGAGAATCTGTCTCAAGAAAAACAAAACAAACAAACAAACAAACAAAGAATGAAATTAAAAATACTCAGCAAAATAGAAATTAAAATAATCCCAAGTTCTTTGAATACTCTTTTAATTTTTATCAGCATTTCCAGACATCTTTCCATATTCTTACATCTATATTCTCAAAATCTAGATCTACCAACAGACATCAGATACTTCACAACCACAATACTGCTATGTTTTATTTTAGTTCTAGTGACCACAAAGGAAAAGACAAGAGAAAAAAAAGTATACTCATCTTAAAAAAAAAGTTTATACTGATCATTATACTCTTAAGTACAAATAAACCCAATTTTTAAACTAAGCTGACAAGGAATCCAAATATCTACTAATCCTATCCTTGATTATAGCAGTGACTCACCCAACTTTTCTGGCTCATCGGGGCCTGTGCCTGCAATACAGCTACTTTCCAGACCATAGGTGGGATCCACTTTCCCGGAGGCCCGGGCTGCTTCTTGTACTTTCTTGACATGAGCTTCAACCAATTCCAGTGGTACCTCCTCCCGGACCCGAGAAAACTCCTCTGGTTCAATGATAAAAATGGAATAGTAACCCATTTTGTACAATATTTGCTTCAATATAAGACCACTAGGAAATCCAAGACAATATTATTATTGCCTTAGTACACATGCAGCAAACTCTTCAGGTACTCAGTCCCTCTGTATAAGCAAAATGAAAGGACCAAATGAAAGACAAGAACAATCAAATTCTATGTTCTAAGTTTCAATACTACATGCCACAATATCTTGCTACAAATAAAAAAATCCTTAAATTTCTCAATTTACATAATCCAGGAATGTTTAAATGGCTTTCTTTGCCAGTTACCTGAAATTCAAAATTGATTACAAAATAACCCCTCAAAACCCTTGTCTGCTCCTGCAATTATTTTGGGTTTTGTTTTTTTGTAAAGTAATTGTATTTTATTTATTTATATATTTGAGATATTACTCTGTTGCCCTGGGTAGAGTGCCATGACATTATCTTAGCTTAAGGCAACCTCAAATTCTTAGGCTAAAGTGATCCTCTTGCCACAGCCTCCAGATTAGCTGGACTATCGGTGCCCACTACAACATAAGGCTAGTTTTCCTATTTTTAATAGAAATGGAGTGTCACTCTTACTCAGGCTGGTCTTGAACTCCTGAACTCAAGAGAGCCACCCACGTCAGCCTCCCAGAATGCTAGGATTATAGGCACGAGCCACTGAACCTGGCCTATTTATTTATTTTTATTTCAGATTAATATGAGGGTACAAGTGATTAGGTTACAATCTACCCCTTACATTGTGCCTATTAAGTGAGAGCACACGAAGGCCCCTCTGTCTTCTCTCCTCTTCCCTCCTGCCGACTTGAATTAAACTGAGTTTTTCTTTTGTGTGGGTGTGTATTAGTTCTCTACTGGCTTTGAATTAGTACTGGATACTTGCTCTTCCATTCCTGTGATACTTTACTAAAAAGAATATTCTCCAACTCTATTCAGGTTAATATAAAAGATGTAAAAGTCTCCATCTTTTTTATGGCTAAATAGTATTCCATGGTATACATACACCACAGTTTATTAATCCATTCATGGGTTGATGTCACATCATGGTGACTGTGAACTGAGCTGCAATAAATAATAGCTGTGATTAAAGAAACCCACAATAAACAATAGCTATGATTTAAGAAACCCCTTTTATGTTCATCAAGAGCATCTCAAATAAGAAAGAAATGGCAGAGCCATCCAGATCTCCCACAGAAATCTGTCCTTCTAATTTTTTTTTTTTATGAGACAGAGTCTTACTTTATGCCCTAAGTAGATTGCTGTGGCATCATAGCACACAGCAACCTCAAACTCTTGGGCTCAAGTGACACTCTTGTCTCAGTCTCCTAAATAGCTAGTACTACAGGCACCCACTACAATATTTGGCTATATTTTAGAGACGGGGTCTTGCTCTTGCTTAGGCTGGTTGAGAATGCCTGAGTTTAAGAAATCCACCTGCCTTGGCCTCTCAGAATGCCAGAATGCTGGGATTACAGGTGTGAGCCACAGCTTTTGGCCTACCCCTCTTATTTTTAAAGTTCTTTTTTGGCCAGGCATAGTGGCTCATACTTATAATCATAAAACTCTGGGAGGCTTGAGCTTGCCTGAGCTCAGGAGTTTGAGATGAGCCTGAGAAAGAGACCCTGTTTCTAATAAAAATAGAATTACCTAGGTATTGTGGTAGGTACCTGTAGTCCCATCTACTCAGGAAGCTGACGAAAGAGGACCACTTAAGCCCAGAAATTTGAGGGTGTTTTGAGTTTTGACACCATAGTTCCCTATCCAGGACAACAGACTGAGACTCTATCAAAAAATAAACAAATAAAGAAATCTCTGTATTTTAAAGCTACTATATTTAAGTGCTTTAGTTTAAAATATTATGATATACATTTATAAAGAACATGGTTATCTTTTAGAGATGCTGTCTAATTTCTTGTTATTTATACAAGAGAAATAAATTTCAGATATACCAAAAAGATATTTTAGAGAAGTCCATACATACCCAAAGCTGCTTTAGCTGCAGCAGATGCCACACGAGGATCCACTACAGATGCCAAAAAAGCAACAGTACTCATGACGGGGTTTCCTGACTGACTGAAGGGAACAGGCTGGTAGGCCAGAGGCCCAAGGGAAGCATCTGAATTCTCAAGGTATGGGTCCTCAATGGGAAGCCTCAAGAAATGGAGGATACATTCATCCTGAGTACGACTTCCAACATGTTCTGACACTTTGTTCCAATCATCCTTGTACATCTCCAGGGCCTCAAAAAGAACAAACAGGAGCTTTAATGTCACGTGACAAAAAAGTC